AGAGGAGTTACAAGAGAGTAACAAACTCGAAAAAGGGCGCTAGATGCTGGAGAGGAAAACAGAAGAAAACCACACCAGAGCACCCGCCAACCACCCACAAGAAGGAGTTAACCATACTAGAGCGCCCAAGCCGTGTGCAAATAATTATGATGGGATTCGTTCTAAAATGGCCACTTTTTTTATTTCCCCGCCTCTATAATAATAACATGATTTGCTGTTCATGTTGTTGTTGTTGTTGTTGTTGTTGTTGTTTGCTTTGGGTGGGGTTGTTTATTATTTTGTTTTGTTTTGCTAGTTTGTTAGTCTGTTAGATGTTTGTTTGCTTGTTTGTTCCCCAAAAAGGTAACTACACGTAGTGCCGGTCTGTGTGGCTGTGTGGCTGTGTGGCTGTGTGGCTGTCGCTACACAAGGATTGAAGGAACCAGACGCTTCAGCGACCCGGGGAGCCAGGAGTCCAAGGGAGACAATAGAACCGCCGTATGGAGGGACGGACAAAGGGGGATAATTTTACAGATGTGGGGGGAGGGGGGGGTCATTTCCCCGGTGGACGGTAAACTTAACCCCTTGGTTAATCCCCTTGATTCAGGGTTCAGAGAAGCCGACAACCATGCCCAATCTACAGGTGGTAAGCTGAGCCACTTGTTTTGGGGTTGTTGTTTTTATCTGTAATAGGCTATAGCATTTCGTATATAAGAAGTTTGATGAATACAAACAGACTTAGTTCTGCTACATGATGTCCTAAGGTGATAGATGAATAGAAAATAGTCTGGCCCTTAGTTTTGCAAAAGATCATTTTGCAATCGGGAGTTAATCGAATACAAAATATCCCACAGTAAACTCAGAGCTGCAAAAGACCCTCTACTCTCAGGTGTTACTTGTTTGTCAAATACAAAACAGTCTTAGTTCTGCAACACTTGATATTTTGTCCACTTTGCGGTCATAATGTGGTCACTTTAGAATTGTTTATTAAACAAGCTGCTGTTAAAATCCATGCTTTTAGCTTCGCACACGGACAAAAAGCATCTAGAGGCCCACTGGATCTACAAACTGTCCCCGGCTGCCTCTTCCTTGTGGTATTCTCAACAAGTCTTCATGAGAACTTGGTAGCACAAAGACCTCGTGGCGTTGAGCTGTCCTGTTGTGAGAGTACATTCTAGTAACATGTGAAGCATGCTGACAAAATGAGGAACTTCTCGCAGTCCACAAATGGAGATATGGGCCAAAAATTGACACTATAAGGGTCAAATGTGTAGATTTTCTATTGATGCCATATTCTTTAAGTATAACATGCCTTTTATTTCATACTTATAAATAGTATAAACTTCACAAGTGTGATGTATCTACTTCCTGAAGGCCTGAATCCGAGAGGTAACTCATTTTGTCAGCACGCTTCACATATTATGTCTACCTCGCATTCTGTCCATGAAAACTGACCACGGCTATACATATTGTATCGATACCAAGTTAGATGGAGTTGAGAAAAGCATGCTGGAGGTGTCATCTCTGTATCGGGCGGTCTTTGGGCTTGACGTTCGATGACCTGTCATTCACTTTGGTTGTCAGCTGTTCTGGTACGCTGTTCCAACGATGGTGATATCCATGACCTTAAGTTGTGAGTCGCTACACCATAAGCGCGGTTTTCTTGTGGTTTGGCTTAGGAGTACGTTTTTCTACTCAAGATCTAATCCCCCCCCCCCTCTTTTTTCTCACAGCATCGCAATTCCATACTCCAGCCTCAATGCTTTCCCCTTACCCCCACCCCCACCCCCACCCCCTGGGGAAAAACCAAGTCATGGGCCATGTCGATAAGCACTACCTAGGGCCGATTCTCGTGTGACCTATGTGTGCTCATAATGACCGTATTGTTATTCATGTCTGAATGGAACAGGGGCGAGCATTCGTGGCCACTTGGGGACTATTAGGGCGATCGGCCTACACCGGTGATCTCCCTTTATTTGTCTGGCTGATCCGTTGTTCTTTGGGAGCGCTGATTGGTTAACGAGAGAGGCCTTGGTGATCTCTCCCCGAGAATTAGCCAATGGGACTTCAGGGAGGGAATCTCTGGGGTAGAAAGTGTGGGGCCCGTCATGTCGCCTCGTGCGAAAGGGAAAATGGCCATGTATCAAGGTCTCGTTTTCTGTACTTGCGTGGCCAGTGCAATTATTTTGGCAACTGAAAGAGACGGCGGAGAGAGCAGAGAGAGAGAGAGAGAGAGACAGACAGACAGACAGACAGACAGACAGACAGACAGACAGACA